TATGGTCCTTTTTTTCTGTAAGCTCGTGAACGGTACCGAAAAAATCTTAGCAGCTTTACGTAAGGTCAACTCTTTGTTCTGGACTTTATTTACAGCCTCTTTTATTTTTTTTGAGACCATTCTCCGGCATCAGTCTTTCTCTTGTACGTGCGAACCATCTACAATGAAATAAATATGAATCAATAATCTCAAACATGTAATAAATCAGTTTAAAAGTATGATCCAATTCGTGCCTGAGGATATGATCCGATTAGCCCCATAATTAAGACTTTTGAAATAAATATTTTAAACGTTAACCTCTAAGATTATACTTAAAAGCGAATTGGTTCTTTAATATAAACACCTTGCTTAATAATATAAACCAATGTAGTTGAATTTTAAGACAAATCCGTCATATGACACAAAGAAATCGTAAGTACGTACCTTAGATGAGCGCCAAATTGCGACACACACAAAAAACCGAGTGGCTGACGAGCGGCATTGCCACTGATCCACAAGTGCGATCGAAATACTGCTTATGTCGGGAGGTGCTCAGTAAATGGAGATACACAAAACGCCGGTTGAGTGCGTTCTATGTGAATGTGATATTTAAATTATCAACAGATTTCTTATTTTGATCCGATTCGCCCTGTGATCCGATTCGCCTCGGTCTACCCTACTTATACAATATCTCGCACTCACCCACTGATGCCTTCGCGCCAAGTTGGTGGATGTTGTGCTAATGCATGATACATTTTATCCTTCTCTATTGTTCTGTAGACTACTCGTATTTGGTCGTTAAATCCGATAGTCGTAACAGCCGATGACGTTGTTATTACAATAGAATTCAGCCGGGACCTTTGATTTGGTCAATCTAACCGGTATGTTGTTCTACACGATGTCGTCGTAAACGGTTTTGACTGTATATGCAATCTGTGTACACATATAAAATGAAAATTTAACTAAAGCAATTCATTCAACATAAAACCAATAATAATCTTAAAAACACTTTCATAATCAGAGTTTTGAGCACATAATCCAAGATGGCGAACCAGTATTCTTATTTCGCGTAATGGAAGGCTCTTGCGAGTTCAGTTTCGCCCACCAGGTGGCGTGTTCCAGTGGAATTGAAGAAAATATAGTGGATAGAGCTAAACAAATCTTCCAGACCATGAATGTAATTAATAACATAATTTTTATATTAGAACCACATTCCCCTTGAACACCATCAACCCTTTGCCGCAGATTTCGGAATCGTGAAGTGTTTATTGCGCACATAGAAAGAAAACCCCACAAAGTCTGGGTTCGAACATACGACCTATGTGTTGAATATAACGCACAAACCACAGTGAATTTATTCGTTTATATGTTTGTTAGTGTTGGCCTAGTGGCTTCAGCGTGCGACTCTCATACCTGAGGTCGTAGGTGCGATTCCCGACTGTGCACCAATGGACTTTCTTTCTATGTGCGCATTTAACATTTGCTGGAACGGTGAAGGAAAACATCGTGAGGAAACCGACATGTCTTAGACCCAAAAAGTCGACGGCGTGTGTCAGGTACTGGAGGCTGATCACCTACTTGCCTATTAGGGTCGTCGCACACGGGCCACCGGCCACAACCACAAAACGCCGCCACTGGCATATTTCCTGTAATTTTCATACATTTTATATGGACTCGCCGCACACGGTTGGCGCCGGTGGCGGCCACACGCTACAAATCGTCGCAGCTTGCTTCTTGTGGCTCGCACCGGCCACTAAACGCCGCCACACGCCACTCGCGCGATTCCGCGCCCCTCTCTCCCCTTGCCTCAGTTAACCTGAAGTCGACGGTAACGCACGCACGTAGTCTGTGGTTCATATAGGTAGATAAATATGGATATAGAATTATTTATATCAGAAATACAATCCCGTCCTGCGATTTGGGATTCAAAAAGTGATAGTTATAGTAATAGAGGAGAAAAAGTGAAGGCCTGGGAAGAAATCTGCGAATTGTTTGTGGGAAATTTTTCGAATAAAACTGCCAAAGAAAAGAACATTGAAGGTAAGTTTAATAAAATAATATAAAACCATATATTTATATTCTATTTTCTTGCCACGGTATTGCTCCTTCATTCATAAAATAATCTTTTAACGTATCTCTTGCAGTAGACGCTCGTGTTACTGGCCCGCCTGTATTTTGTATATTTTCGAGTCCCACTATTTTCAAAGTGTGAAAAATTGAAACCATCCCTTGCGGATAAAGGTGGGGCAAAATGCAACAAGCTTTCACAATGTCTTCTGAGAAATGAACAGAAGTGTTTAATGGGCGATGTAATATTCTCCATTTGTTTGCTAGTACGCCGAAGGTACACTCAATGCAACGTCTGGCACGGCTTAACCTATAATTGAAACCTTTTTTGTCTAAGTCCAAATATTTTCCAGCATATGGCCTCATCATATTTTCACTGAGGCCAAATGCTTCATCACCAACAAATGTATAGTTCAATGGTTGTCGGATACCGACCTGTCGTGGTGAAGGGATATTTAATGTCTTTCTGTTTATTTTATTACACAGTTTACTTTCTCTAAATATTGTAGAATCGGATGCTTTACCGTATGCCCCAACATCCACGAACGTAAAAAGTAAATTCGAGTCGCATGTTGCTAGAAGTACTATTGAAAAAAAATTTTATAGTTAAAGTACTAGGAGCCGGTATCGAATGGATGAATAATTCTAGTTTCCCATCTATGGCGCCTAAACAATTAGGAAAATTAGTATTTTGAAGAAAACCGCTGGCAATTTCATTCCACATGTCTTGGGTCGGTTCTGGAATACAAACGGCTTTTAAATAGTTCCAAATTAGTTGACATGTTTCATGTACTATTTTCGTGGTAAGTGAGTTCAAAATCCTCAAACTAGCATCCAGTTCCGAGATACCTGAAACAATGAAGTATATAATATTTTTTTGTTGTTACAGTAACTAAATTACAGAGGAAGTGGAAGAGTCTTCGTGACAGTTTTAATAGAGAAAATGCAAAAAACAAGAACGTTGCGAGTGGTTCGGCAGCAACAAGCAGTAAACAGTACATTTATTTCAATCATCTATCTTTCTTGAATTCCTTAAAAGAAGTGAGACCGCCTACCGATGTTACTAATGCAACTAATGATGTGGAAATACCTCGCCCGAAAATAAACAGAAACATTAATATAAAAAGGGCCGAAAAATCTGAAAATGAAATTCTCAGAACTCTTTCGGAAAATTTAAAACGTAAACATGATCAAATAAGCGACCAAAATGACCCCGATAAGCAATTTCTGATGTCGCTGCTTCCACATGTAAAAAAAATTAACGAAAATTGTAAACTTGATTTTCAATTAGAAATATTACAGTTAATTAGAAAGTACACGCATAATCAAAATTATGAAACCTATTCGGCACAATATTATGGTTATTCTTCAGGAAATGACAACATACACTCGACACAAAAAGCTTCTACATCTGCCCAGCCTTCTCCACTTCATTCACATTATTCCGACAAGTCTATGCTTGACATGTCATACTCTACACAAAACGCTTCTACATCTATCCCGTCTTCACCTATAATTCAGCCTTCTCCAACTCATTCATATTATTCTGACCAGTCTATGGACAACAGTTCTGTTATCGAAGACATGTGCATTGTTCCGTGATGATGACGAGTGATATTAAATTATAATAAACACACAATAACTAAATACAAATACCTACGTGTTTTATTTGTTAACTAGCTATTCTCTAGTACAATAAACAATGCATAGTGATTATAAATAAAGTATAGATTATTTTACTATAGTGTTCTGTGGAGTTTTATGCTAGTGATTATTTCCACTTACCTTAATGTGATAGCTAGTCTTTCCGCAGGTGCGATGCTTTTCCGCATGTTGGTGTCGTGGTGCTTTAATCCAGCATATAATAGAGCGTGTAGTTCCCAAAACGTACCTATACTTAAACGAAAATGTTTGACAAACTTTTTAGGATGGTTTAGAAGATTATCGAAATGTTCGTTGCATTTGTGTACATTCGTTAAAATTGGATGTATCCAATAACTACGGTTTCGTCTTCAACGACGACATCTTTTTATCAAAAGAAGCGCAATTAAACCTTCGTCAGAGTCCATTATGATACTGCACGCAAGGGTTAAAAAAGTAGCAGCCACTGACCGCAAGTGTCGACCACCGGCCACAAGTTGCCGTCGCGCGCTTGAGCTACCTTTGTAGCCGCTTCTAGCTTCTCGTGGCGGTGTTTGTGGCTGTCGCGTGTGGCCCGTGTGCGGCGACCCTTAAAAGAGGTTGTAGCGCCACTGATTTTTTTTGTTTTTAATGTTTGTTAGTTATAGATGTTTGTAGTGATTTTTTCTGTAGACTACAAAATCTATAATCTATAACTATAATTGAGCAAAGATTCCAAATCATATCATTTTAAAGTGAATAGTTATTTCTTATTTCAGAATAACCAATTACCAGAACCGAACAAGAATATAATGTCAAAATTAAATCATATCACAAAGAAGATAAGAAAAGACCTCATTTTAGAAGACATTTATTAAAAATCGCTTTAAATATTTCGATTGGCAACATCATATAAAATTTCAAAATATACAAATAATAACTAATATTGGAATGTTTTATAATATTCTTAATAAATAATTATCTAAATTTTTTTATTACATAATTGCGAGCAAATGGCTTCGGTAAAAAAATTTTTTGTAGGCACAACAATGAAACATATTAATGAAGAAATACTAGTACAACCGAAATGTGCCCTTTTATTAATATTTTACTTTTTTTAAATACTTAAGGGTCTTGATAAATATGTCCATAATCCCAAGTCATATACAAGTTGATAGTTTATAATATAATTTTTAATTAAAAATATTGAGTACTTCGTTTTATTCTCATTAGATATTTGTGACATCAAGTTTATCAAAAATGCATCTTACAAAGCAATAAAATTACAATTCAATACACATATTCTTAGATAAATATGTAGTTTAATTTTTAAATTACATAGACTTCATTTGTTGCATAAGTTCCTCAAGGGACAGTTCGGAAGCCGCCACAGCGCCACCTGTACTTGATTCGGGGGTACTATTATCTACTGGGATACTGTAAGCGACCTAAAATAAAAAAAAAACACAATCGTCATGATCGTAGAACAATGTCGGATTTGAAATAAAATCCAAAATGCACTTTTTATCATATTTGGATACATTAACTAAATATTACGGCTACATTTTAAAAAATCCTTGTGTTTTACATTTTAAATTAATCTTTCGGTAAAGTGACGATGTTGATAGAAGCATGTGATTTTTCTAGAAAACTGTGTGATTTAATGTATTATTTTTATTTTGTTTCAAAACAAACCCTTTTGTTTGCTTGTATGCCAATTTTCATAATAACAGAATATGAATTAAAATAGTTATGACAAAAACTAACTTTTTTTTTTAAATGGCTGCCCTGTAAAGTTTACTATTTGTCAGATTCGAATTTATTATTTTTTTTTTTTTTTTAATTAAATGAAAACAAATATTTCTGTCCACGGCGGAGCAACGTTTTGTGATTCATTTAAAAAGGAAATTAATTTTATTGTATTTTAATTAAACAATTATATTAATTAATACTACATATACTGTAGCAGTAAGGACTTATTAAACACTGAAGATCGTTTTGTACACATTGTTGTGTCATGGCGTAGAATAAAAAGCAATCAAATTCGCCTTTGCCTATAGAAATAATAGAAACTTCGCGGAAGTGACCTTTGACCTTTCATAAAAATAATTTCCTTTCAACGATTATATAATTATTTCCATTTTCGTAATGCGTTTCAATCGATTTGACTTTTACAATTCAAATATTTTTAAGAACCGTTTGGGGCTTTGTTAATATATGAACTCAACAATAATAATGTTGCGTGTTTTGTGGTTCATTTATTTAATGTGAATTATCTTTTCGTATTATATGTAATTGTATATAAAAACTATGTTCTTATATAAATTAAGAAATTTCCACATGTGTATTTTTACCTGAACTCCATCAACCAGATTTAAGTTGGGTGTCTCCTCTTCTGGTGAATTTTCATCAACCAAGCTTATACCTGAAAATGCACAAAATATGTCAAAATGCATTTTTTAAGACTAGCCGAAAGTTTATTATCTATTAATTTTTTTGACAAGTACTTGTATACTGATACATAACAAGTTATATTAGCTTGGAGAAATTTTTGCGTTTGTAGTAGTGTATGGTCAGCAAATAAAAAAAAAAACAACATTTTATTTTTAGTTTTTATTTTTTTAAAGGTAATATACGTTTGTGGCTGGAGCACACCAAATGCGTACACGTCTACGCATACGCACTACGTACTAATACGGACGTGAAAATGTGTATCCACTGCATTGTAATCTATGGAACTGTATGAGGCAGATAAGCCAGTTCCAAATATTACAAGCAGTGAATGCCGGTTTTCACTTCAGTGAAGACGTGTATGAATTAGGTGTTCTCCGGCCATAAATGTTTTATTCTAATAATTCATCAACCCCAGGCATATCACAATCATCCCCATCCTCGCTTTCATCAGATGAATTATTTAAATTAATTATGATTCGTTCTGATATTGTGTCTAAAGCTGCGTCTCTACCCTGATATTTGTTTTCCTCCTCAATAGCATGCAGACAAACTTTTCTCCATTCCTCTACAGTTATGGCGTTCATTTTTTCTTCAGCTAATGACATTATAACCTTCATATTCATTGCGACATTCTTTTTTGCGACATATGTTTTCACTATCCCCCATATATTTTCTATAGGATTAAACTCCGGATGGTATGGTGGTAAACGCAGCACAGTATGACCGTGCTGTCGTAATATTTCGTCTATCTTGTACTCTACAAATCTCGCCTTGTTTTGCAGAATCAGTTCATATAATTGAGGCTTAAGCAACGTGGATGAATGCTCAATGTTTCGCAATGTCAGCCAGTCAATCATTTGCTGTTTTCTAGAATTACTATTCGGTGCAGGATTTTGTATTGAGTTATGATATGGTGCGTTGTCAACAACAACAACACTATTTGGTTGTAAGTTGGGTATTAATTGAGTTTGAATCCACCTTGAATAGTTGTCATAGTTCATATTGTCGTGGTAATCTCCACTTTTTTTGGTTGGCTTTAAACATAAGCAATGCATTTGGTATAAAGCCATCCATACCACCGGCATGAACAATGATTAAGCGGTTGCCTTTCGATATATGTTGCTTCAAACCTGAAGTGCTTCCATCTGACCAAGATTTCGAGAGGGTATGTGATGTATGTATATATGTTTCGTCGGTGTAAACAATTGGTCGGCGTTGTTCACGATATTCAGCAATTTTCATCAAATAATTAATTCGCAAGTATCTAATTTCGTGTTTTTCCATAAGAAGTTTCCGGTTATCTTCTGTTTGCTTCCAATTAAAACCTAATGACATGACGTGTTTTCGTAACGTGCTGACACAACCTTTATAATCGATATCTTCTTTTAATTTTGCGTGCAAAGTTTTCAAAGTGGGAATTTCTTTATTTGTGATGTGGAAGTCATGAATTGTTCTTCTGATAACTTGCTGATCAAAGTTATCGATTACTATTGTAGGTTTACGATTCGGTTTCTTTTTAGGAGATTTAAATGTTACTTCCTGATCTGAAGGTCGACATTTGCTTTCTGATACTACCTTTCTGACGGATGCTATTGAAATTCCCGTTGATTTAGCAACTAATTGAGTGGGAGTCATAATACTGCTCGGGTTGTTATTACACTCATTTTCGAAATATTTGTACAAACAGTACAAAACTTCTTTAGTTTGAGAAGTCAAAGGCTTGCCTCGACCATGTTTTAACACTGGAGCCATTTTTAATTAACAATATAAAGTTGCAACACTTACACACAAATTAAACACTTCAACAAATATTATAACAATAATAACAAACAATAACAACAATCAACAAATACAAAATTTAACAATTAACGTAATAATTATAATTTTTGAATGAAATGTGTGCTTTATGTTCTAACAGTACCAAGCGACTGACGCCGGACTGCACGTGGCACCTGCGGACAGCGTAAACTGGTTTATTCTGGTTTTGTGCGTGTTTCCACTTTCCACTATCAAGTGACGATTTTTTGCTTTAGATTGAAATATCTCGGAAACGGTGCGTCCTAGGCCAAAAATAAATTTTGACCCCCGTAGACCCCCGGAGTTTTAAAAACCTAGATGAAAGGAAAAAAAATATATATCGGTCTCTCCTCTTTGAAGTTTCACTTCTATCGTGTGTGAATCGCGCACACACCTTTTTTTATAAAGTCAAAACCCCTTTTTTTAAATAAAAACTTGTTTTTATTGATAACAAAAATCAGAGTGTTGCTAGGGATAAGTATAATATTAAATAGTAATGTTAGGATATCGAAACATTTTGTATAGGCCAGAACGATATAGTGGAAACGCGCTCTAAGATCTGAGTAATATACACACCACTACATATGCAAAAATTTCTCGAGACTAATTTCACTGTAACAAGTTATATTGTATTAGTTTTATTTTATCGACACATCAGACAGTGGCGTGGTGGGCCTCTGACCAAGAGATATTATGTTCTATGGATGAATGTGAAGTCTCCAATAAGCATTGGGCTAGCGTGGGGACTACAGACCATTCACTCTCGCCTAAGAGAGGAGGCCTATGGCCATTAGTGGGACATATACAACGTGTTATTGAGTACGCTGAAAATCTCGAAGTTTATTAAAATTACTGATAGGGCCCCATCAAAAGAATTTGCCACGGGCCCCAGATGGTATAGTTACGCCACTGACAGCACCGTGTCCGTACCATAAAAAATGTGACATTCATATCTAAATAGTAAAAAAAATGATTGAAATTCTTACAAGTTTTACTATACTTTTGTAAATCTTACTTATTTTCTTAGCCTTTTATTTTTAATAAATAAAACATATTTATTTTAAATATAATTAAAATCTCACCCCACTGATTTTCTTCATGTATAGGTTTCTCATCTTCCGTCACTTCAGTGGCGACCTCCACAATGGCCGGTCGTGCTTTCACCTCTGTCTGACGCGTTCTACAATACGAGTCTTCGCATTGAGGGTTAGGCTGAAAAATATATTAATTAGTATAAAAAGTAAGTTGTAATTATATATTTTCTTGGATATCAAAGCCCTAACATATGGACTATATACCTAAATACACATTATTATTATAAACTAACATCCGACCATAGCTTAGCAACTTAACAATAATTGTTATATTATATATTTTAAATTTACTTTTACACCGTAAAAATTCCATTGGTATTTTTTGAGTTTATCGCGTACATACAGACGTAAGATATCTAAGGTAAGGTATATAGGCATTTCATTTTTATCTCTCTCTCTGACTAGAAGTTACTATTTGTCTCACATCTTTTTTTATTATTAATTAATTGTATGAATTCTTATGAAGTTTCAAAAGTTGTAAACCATAAATTAATCTAACCCTACAGTTTAAAGTATTCATCTGTCAACAAAAATTTTACAGAAAGAGACGTAAGAGTGCAATCAGACTAAACTAGACTAGTGTGGTAGAATTATTGTGTATGTTAAATACATTTATCTTAATATATATAAATTACGTGTCACGTTGTTTGTCCGCTATGGACTCCTAAACTACCGAACCGATATCAATAAAATTTGCACACCGTGTGTAGTTTGATCCAACTTAAATGATATGATAGCTTACATCTCAATTTATACCCGCAATATTATTTTATTGCAAAATATTTGTTTATTATTTAATAGTCACAATTCAGTTTCACATAAGCTACAATTTAATGGCATAACCACCAATAAAGCATGGTGGTCCCCATGACTGGTGTTCTCCTAACGTTTCCCTTAAATAGTTTGCTACTATGTAATATAACAAAAACCTTAGCCACAGCAACGCTTGGCCGGTCTGCAAGTATAATATAAATAAACTATACCTTGAGACCCATTGTGGGAAAGAAATCTGTCAAAGCGCTGTATCCCAAGTAATGGCTGACATTACCAAATCCGAGCAAGAATTTTAATGTATTTTGTACTGAAAATGGATAAATATAATTCGTTTTATAGTGGACAATTAAAATATAGCAGCAGTCCGTACTCTGTAACTCGCCACGGTGATTCTAATAATGAATAGCTATCTAGCCCGCTCATACTAATAATAGATAGCGCAATTTTAAAACAATAAACGTTCTTCAACATTAATTATTTAAATAATAAACGGCTCAAATATAAGTCTTTCCTTCAACTTCGATTGTTGTTCCTTTTGAAGTAGAGACTCTTGGGCCGTGGGGTTCAAGGGCACACAAGTGATAGATAGTACCCCCCCAGAGCTGGTGCTTTCCTCGCTCAATGAATAAGTATCGCAATACAGCGAGGAAATGCTGCCAGCGTTAAAGGTACACTGCCACAGGGACCAAACTTTTAATTTTTTTTTTTTTTTATTTTTTTTTATTTTTTATTATTTCTATGTAGGTTAAGAAATTTGTAAATACTATATAATTGTATGTTATATTTAGGTTTTAATTAACACTTTATACATTTTATTATGTACTAGCATTTAAAAGCATAATCCTTAAAGAATTTTATGTAAATATAGTCTTTAAAAATATTCTTTTTTACCTAAAAACCCAGCAACAATGCCCATAGTAGTAGGAAGACTTGCTGCACACACTCCTTCCCTTTTCAATGTTTTCTCGTCGATCTTGGAAGCAACAACCAAAGGTGGCGCGCACTGTTCAAAATATTTATTTATAAAGTTTTGATAAATATGGTACTAAACACGTGTTTCAATTCGATTAAACAATACTTTTGCGATATCTGTATACATTCACGATTACTAGTAACTATATTTAGCTCTTATCTGTGTCTGTCTTGCAGTATAAATATGAAATTGCTTATGTAAGCGTCTAATAAATCGATGAACGCCGGCTGCACGCCCGAAAAAACTGACTCATTGTCCCGTTACGCTCATTGTACGCTTGCGCCGCATCTCTCTTCCACTGGATTGGACTATGTGTCCAAGGATTCACATTATTATATCCATACAAAATAGTAATAATTCAATAAAAATGAATCCATTTTATTCATAAAAGTATGCAATCATTTCATCAATGTTTTGTTAAGACGTTGTCACGTTAAGATATCGTTCGGTTTTATAGACAACCACTTTTTTGTTTTAATATTGCTGATAGAATTTGACGAAAATTTAATACTCTAATTTTAATAATACAATTGTAAATTAAATGAACGAAAGCAGTGTTAGGACAATGGTGAAGTATCTGCGTCCGTCTATAGATTTTTGTTCATGTGTAAGCCTTGATCAACCATTGTGAAGAAACTGATGACTTAATTTTAAATAAATTAAACAAGAATATGTAACAAAAAATAGTTTTACAAACTTACCGCAAAACAAGCAGTCTCGCCTGGTACAATAAACTGAATATGTCCCGACACAGCATTTTCACTGACTCCAGATTCAAACCAGCGTTGGTTAAGTTCATTGCAGGCAGTATTGATGGCCATGCGAGCCTCAAAATTATCCACACAACTTAAAACAAGATCTACAGGTCCGCCTGATAAACTGCCTTTGCTAGAAGAATAATAAATTTATTTGGGTAGAAAAATAAACTGACAGATTGTATTTTTTTAAATCATGTTTGTTAGGTTAAACAGTAGCTTTTTTCTTTATCTCACTCTCTCTCTTGGTCAATCTCCTTTAGTCTTATAAATATATTTTATTTTGTATTCTAAAATAACCTTGCACTCTTACACTTCTTCACAATTTTTTTTTATGTTTTCTTTAACTAGGGTTGTCTGGAAATGATTGCTTAGTAACTATAGGGTAGCCAGTTGCACCACGAAATTGTTTTTATTTGTATGTATATGTGTAAAAAGATAATGTAACAGCCAACTGAACTCTCAGGTCATGCTTATAAATCATACATATAGAATTGTAACACCACTTGATTTTTTATTTGGTTAAACATAATAATTACACATAAAAACTGCTAGGCTTATTACTATTAATTTTAAAATCTTTATTTTTAATTAATAGACATGAGTTTTTTCTTAACAATTAAAACAAAATATTAAGTTGCAAAATTCTAATAAGTTGTAAGGAGTTTTTAAATACGTACATAAATAGTATTTACTAATTAAATGTATTATTAAGTCAATATACATTTGAGGTCATCTACAAGTTTGTAATATATATTTATGGGAAGCTTTACTCAACACTTTGTTCAAAATATCTCATTCAAAAAGTATATATTATATACATAATTATTACAAACACTGAAAATATAAAAATTATGTGTTACAATTATTAAATAAATTACCTGATTGAGTCACAGAACTTCTGGAAATTATCCATTGTAGTAATATTATAATTATGTGCCTCTATGGTGACATCTGGATTAATAGATTGCAGTGTTGCCGCTGCTGCATCTACCTTACTAAGCCCTGCCTGGTGGGGTTGGAAAAATAGCCTATTCATGTTCGCCAGCTCCACTTTGTCATAGTCATAGAGTATCAACTGAAATGTAGGGTAATAATGATAAAGATCTAAACACAAAGTTGAAATGAACTGACAGCCGCACAAGCAGCAGAACAAGTATTTTCATTTTACATAATAAGAAGTACCTTTCCAATGCCACATCTTGTAAGCATCTCTGCTGTAACACTACCAACTCCACCGACACCAACAACAGCAACAGAGAGCTCTCGAATTTTCTCATAGTTGTCCACTATGCCCATTCGTTTGAGTGCCATGAGACGACTGTTTAATTAAACAAGATGTTAAGGGAAAGAGACAATTTAAGTAAAAATTCTCCACTATATTGCCTGTAGCATATTGTTGATATAAAATGTATGAAGAATAATTTAAGACGATAATTCTACAGGTTATTTAAAAATACACGTGTTATTGAAATATATTATAGTCTCTCTGAAGACTCTTGAGATTAAATATTATGAAAAATCGTAAAATACCTGTAAGGATTTGAGTCCACAACTTCTGAAGACATTACATCAATTTTCTGACGCACAGGTCCTGCGTTTCCCTGGACAGCTGCTAATTTAGCTTCCAATTCACTTACTTTTCGTTGTAAATCCTCAATGCTAGCCATTTTTACACAGTTTTATTTAAATCTTTAGACTAAATAACTTTTCGAATCTGGTTTGAATTGAAAATATTTATCGAGTGACGTCAAATGTCAATTGTCAAAGTCACTTGATACCAGTGATGATGTGCCACGATCAAACGCTGCGTTCAACGAAATCATGCTAACAGCCAATGCTCAATAGGACGACGGAGGGATGAGTTCGGACTTGCTAATCGCTAAAATCGAAGTTTTGTGTCTCTACTGGCAGGCTAATTAGCTACCTGTATAAGTGTATAGTTCCAAATACGGTTACGAAGCGCTGCAGAAGTTTTCCCATGCACACATTGATTATATCTCTATTATATTATTAACTATAGTATTTTACGTATTTTTTATTGTAAGGGTTATTTAGTAATTTTTCAATTTTCTGTCTTTTTCTACTAAATGTAACCCCATGCAAATCATACTTAACAAAAATAGATTTAATGGTTTTTACAAATTTATGTACGAAAAACTAAATCACCGAGAATAATTATTTTACGACCAATTTTTGATGTTAAAGAACAGTTTTATCCCGGAAAATATCCGTCTAATAATTTTTTTAACCTTTAAATTTTAAAAATGTTATATATTATTATTTTTATTTATAATACATGATTTCAAATACTAGGTCATTCAATGTATAATAATAATAAAATAATAAAGCCTTTATTTCGTTCCATACCATTTACATTACATGCTAATACAACTAAACTAAAAATTTTGTGTTAATGTGGTTAGTAATACAGTATATGTAATATTATTTAGTAATTTAATATTGAAATAAATGTTAGTATTATTAGTACCATATTTTATTTTCCTAGGTATGGATCCCTATCTTGGGTATAGGCCTCCTCTAGCCGCTTCCAGTCCTCTCTGTCCTGACCCCTGATCATCCATTCTTTTCCGGCAACATGGACAATGTCATCGACCCAGCGTTTCTGAGGTCTGCCAACTCTCCTTTTTCCCCTTGGACCTAGCCATTTAGTAGCTGTAAGTGTCCATCTATCATCTTTCAAGCGAGATATATGTCCTGCCCATTTCCATTTTAGCTTCAGTGCATGCTTTAAGGCATCTGTAACTCTAGTTCTTTCTCTTATTGTTTCGTGTCTGATTTTGTGTATCCTTTTTAATTTTAGCATACTGCGCTCCATTGCTCTCTGACATGACCTTACTTTACTTTTGGTTTTGTTATCAAATACCCATGTTTGGCATGCATATGTTAGGCATGGTAGTAGGCAAGTGTCCATTACAATCTTTTTGTATTCTGAACTGTAATTTCCTTTCAGAATCTCCTTATGTGACCAGTACCTGTTCCAGGTAATGTTTATTCTCCTGCAAATTTCCTTGTCATTGTTGGTGGTGTCAAACGATACCTGCTTCCCTAGATAGATATATGACTCTACATACTCTATTATTTTGTCATTTACTTTTATAGGTTTGTGCAGGCTATTTGACATGATTTTAGTTTTGTTGGGGTTCATACTCAGACCTACTTTTTTACTTTCCACATCCAGGATTTGCAGCATTTTTTCCAGCGCTGATGCAGTTTCACTAAAAACAGCTATGTCATCTGCGAATCTGAGATGTGTTAGGTGCTGATTTATTAACGGTATGCCCCTGCTTCCCCAATCAATATTTTGAAAGACACTTTCTAGGACTGCTATAAATAGTTTTGGGGACAGAGGATCACCCTGTCTTACGCCCCGTCTAATGGGAAACTCTGCACCTTTCGTTTCTAGTTTTATTCTACTTGTGCTTTTAGAATATAGGTCTTTAATGATTTGTATATATCTATCTTCCACTTTATTTTTTTCCAATGTCTGCCATATAGATGTGTGTGTTATGCTGTCGAACGCTTTGGAATAGTCCACAAAAGCTATATAGAGTGGTCTATTGAATTCCTTATATTTCTCTATAAGTTGTTCTAAAGCATGGATGTGGTCCACAGTTGAGAAACCTGAACGAAATCCTGCCTGCTCCATTGGTTGGTTGTTATCAATTGTTGTTGTTATTCGACTAAGTAGGACTGATGAGAATAGCTTATAGATGGTAGGTATCAAACTAATTGGTCTATAGTTACCAATATCCAACGGGTTTCCTTTTTTGTATAGTAACACAATGTCTGAGTGGCACCACTGTGTAGGGACATAGCCTTGTTCCAGCACTATGTTAAATAATTTTGTTATGATACTAGTTAGTATTGGTGCTCCGATTTTTATGGCCTCATTAGTTATATAGTCAGGTCCTGGACTTTTGTCAGGTTTTAGTTTGCAAATATATTTATGTACGTCTTGTTCATCAATGGCTTGTAGTATTTCCTCCGAATTCTTGGTGGTTGGGCCAACTGCTCTGTCATCCTGATGTTCGTAGAGGTTTCTATAGAATTCAGTAGCACACTCCATGATTCCTTTTCTAGTTTTCATTTCTCTGTGTCCATTTTCTAGTTTTGTTATCCAATTTTTGTGTGTGTTTAGCTCCTTAAGCCCCCTCTTCGTACTTCGATATTGCTTTAGGTTTTTTTCTAAAATATGTTTTCTGTGGTTTTTATAATCTTTTCTTATGGCTTTATTTGTTGCTTTGAATAAATTCTTAAGTTTGATCTTATCTTCCTTGTTTTTATTTTTTTTTTTGATTAAAATTGAGCGTTCATTTATTAGTTTTTGAGTAGATTTGCTAATTATTTTATTTGTTTTGTGGTCTTTATCTATTTTTAGGCTTTGTTTAATTATTAATTCTAGGGCGTCATAGTAAGTTTGAACATCATTATTATTATATATCTCTTTAAGGCGGGTATTAATATTATCACTTAGGTTCTTCAAATACTCTGATTTTTCATTGTCGGTTTCAGGAGATTTTGGTAACATTACAAATTTCTTTCTTGATAAAGTTGGTGTTGTCAGTATTACAGAGGCTCTGACTAATCGATGGTCAGATGGAAAATCTATTTTATTTATAATTTCCATGTTTATTATGCACTTGGGGTGATTACTCATTATAAAATCTATTTCATTTTTTGTTTGTCCATTAGGCGAAATCCAGGTCCATCTACGACTAAGTTTTTTCTTAAAGTAAGTGTTCATTATACAGAGCTTGTGTTCAAAGGCATATTGGATTAGTCTTTCACCTCTCTGGTTACGCTTGCCATAACCATAATTGCCTAGTATAAGTTTTTCTTTATGTTTGGGTTGACCAATCTTAGCATTGAAATCTCCTAAAATCAATACATTTTTGTCAGGTGTTTCATGGGCTTTTTCAAGTTCTTCATAGAATTTATTGATTTCAATTTCATCTGCTTCTTCGGTTGGTGCGTAGACTTGGATGAGTGATATGCAGTGTTCTCCAAATTTCATGCGCAGCAGGGCTACCCGTTCAGATATACCAGTGAACTCGATAATATTGGCTTTGTGTTTTCGACTGATAAGAAACCCAACTCCATATAATCCAGGTGTGTTTCCCATGTAACAGAGGATGTGTTCATGATGTTCTTCTATATTAGATCCCATTTTTCTGACTTCTGCTAATCCTAATACATCTATTTGAATATTTTTCAATGAGTGCACAAGTTCTATCAATTTTTCTGTTGATGCTAAAGTTCTCACGTTGTAAGTTCCAATTTTCAACACTCTTGTTTGTTTTTTGTTTGTTGCTAGAGGGTTTTGGTCTGATTCCCCACGGGGACCAGCCGGATTGGGGAATGTTTTTCTAAATGTTTTACTTATATTTTTATGTTCTTTGTTTATCCGGCTGTCGAGTTCCTATGTTTGTTTTGATGTGAGGGTAGGGGTGGTGAGAGAGTTACTTCTTCCTCGCATCATGTCAAAGGCGTTTGACCTGCTTGCTTTTGTTGTTGCTGTGGGTTGCAAATTGCTCTTTTGGGCGTATTTTGGTGGTGAAATTGACATAGAACGCTCGCGTTTGCGTTTCTCTTTTGTTTGTATGCTATCCCGTATGATGAGTTTGTCATATTTCAATACTGCATACTTTCCCTTCTGTCTTTCTTCTATCAACTGTTGTTGGAGTTCCCTTCTTTTAGTTAGTACATTTTTAGGATAGTCTTCATTTAAATAGATTCCGGGCAGCTTTTTCTTATTTCTCATGATTTGTTCTTTTTTCCAAGCATGTAAAAGAGAGATGATAACAGGTCTTGGTTTTTCGTTATCTACCCCCTTTTTTTCCTAGGCGGTATATATTATTGATGTCGTTATGGCCGATATCTATATTTATTTTTGATCGAATCATTTCAGTGACTATTTCTATTAGATTTTGTTTTGAAATCTCTTCCTCTTTAAATCCAAAGGCTATAATATTATTTTTACGGTTTTCGCGCTCTAAATTATCAATTTTCTCGCGTAGGTTCTTGTTTTCGGATTTCAAGTCTGTTATTGCTTTTACTAAAGGGTTTAGTTTCTCCTCCATTTTTTGCATAATTAAATTCGATTGTTTTTGCATTTCTATCTTCATGTCATCAAAAAGTGCTATAAGATTATGATCCATTCTTTACGATCACGAATCGGAACTTAGTCGTTGGTAGCTTGTACTTTTTAATTATGGCAACAATTTGGTATATATCAATAGTGTCACTTTAGCTAATATTGATTGTCAAAGTATTATGTCGGCTCAAATAACCTTCAAAGTTTCACGAGTTTAACACAAGATCTTAATGTTTAATGCGTCACTTCACACAATGTTTTATATTTAAAAGAAATGCCACTATTACTTTTAACCTATTTTGTGATAGTACACTACGTTTTTCCTAGTTTTTCTGTATTTTTGTTGAGTTTTCGTCTGGAGCGACTACTATTACGTGTGCGTGTTTTGACAGCCGGAAACGAACTCATTCAATGTATTAAATAAAATAATTTTTACAGTAGGGATCTGTGGATCTTACGTTATTTTTGGCAAAGTTAAGGTTTTGAACCATTGTCGTTCGGTAATTTGTTTAATTTTTTGGAAAACAGGTTCATTTGGTCGAAACGAATGCACTAATATTTTTGACATCTTTGATCTACTTAAAAAAATAAATAATATGGATGCTCTCACTTTTAAACTACTCTTTCGACCTCAATAATAATAACCCGGCAGATCTGTGTTATTTTTAGCACTGAAAAAAATTTTTTGGGAGATGATTTAGATTTGCCTAGTTCAATGTTTATTCTGTTTATCTTTATTATTTACGAGTATATAAATATAACATGAGGTTGAGTCTTCTCTGGCTTAGAAGCTAAAGAAAACACAAATTCTACAAAAATTTACATTAAAATAAATTTTTTTTCTTTATTCTTTTTTACAGGCTTTGTAAGTCTGCCTAAGCCTGCCTGTTTGTAGCCTGTCGTAAGTCACTGTCAATTTCATATTGCAATATAGCCATTAAAATTACCGGCTGAAATATTTTAGAAAATATAGGTATTACCACCAATAATCCTTTTGTTTCTATCAAATTGTTTTAAGCTGTTATGAATACAAGCAGAATGAATACAGTTGTGAGATATTAGACTAATATGTATATGATAGTCCTTACAATTAACAAACAAATAACAGCGATGTGCGGGCGGCAGAAAAAGAATCGTTAATAGTTGTGATCTAAGTATATTAAATTTATTAATACCGAAACAAAAAATACAATATATTACTTTCCAATACAATACACGACACGGATTATGTCAACCTTCAGTCGCTTCGTAAAGCCTAAATCTCTATAACTATCCAATAGCAATTAAATCTTACAAAAACGTTTTACGGAATTTTATAACACATCAAACAAGAACTTCGGACCACAGATACTTCCTAGACATACACCACACGCCACTTTATAAAATTTCAGTCATTCAAGTATGTTTACTAACTAGATGCAAGTTTAAGAATACGGCCCCAAACTGAAATATCTGAAACCTGTATTACGGTCGGAGAAAGGATACGGGCTACGGCACATTCGTTAGTTGTTCTTGAAACATCGAGTAAGCATGACCGGTTCTAGTTAATGTGTTAGTGATAGTTTACAGTGGTTTCTCGTTTATAGTAAAACTATCAGAATTTGTAAGTATTATCTTGAATTGCAATATTAAACTTAAAATATCATTAAAATAAACAATTGAAGATTTAAAGTATTTTAAGGGTTTTATTTTGCGGTTAATAAAAATTATCGTGAAATTCGATGAAATTGAACATAGTAAGGAAAAGTGATTTTATAATTAATTATAAAATCCTTTAATTTTTAATCTCTACTAAACGGTTAAAATTTACCAGTTTCTTGCGATGTAACAATTAAGTATCATTTCATACCAATATAAGCGATTTAAATGTTATTGAAGATTTTACAAAGATACACAATCTTTTTCAGTGCAATTGGGTTATTTTGTATTTTTTTGGGAATATAATAGTCTATAATAAATTTGTTAGCATTTTTTTTATAACTTTATAGCACATAAAACAAGTGATACAATTATAAAAAAAACTTACCAAGCAGCCTTATGCCAGTTGAGATTTAAAAATAATAATAATTTAAGACTAAAATAGTGTCGTTTAATAATTCAAATATCATGATAAAAAACACGTATAATAATTATTATTTTGCAATTAATACAAATACAAACAATACAGTATCTATATTTTGTCTATAGTTTCTTATAAGAATCTATGAAAATTTATGAAAATGGACTTTTGTAACTTCTCCGTGTCCCTGCTATCGCTATCCTTCAAGTTATCTATAAGTATATACTAATATGAAAAAATTGTGTTATCTATGTGTATTGTGTGCATAAAGTAACAAAGTACGCTTTTAATTGCTCTATGATCTTAACGGATGTCTTAGAGGCTAAGGGTAATTCAGAGTCGAGACTTATGGTAAGAATCAAAAACGAAACTTAGCTGACTCTTGTCCGTGAAAAGCGAATCGTATTTATAAATCTTAGGTACCCTTAGTGCTAAGTATGTATGTAGCGCTAACAAGAAGCTTTAGTGCTTTGTCTGGACATGACCATTAGAACACTGCCCACGAATCTACCGAAACATTTCTTGTTTCATACATAGGCTGTACCTAAATTAATCACAGCTTTTCCAAATATTTCGATCATCTGTCCAGTTTTCCCCCTAAGAACATAAAAATGTCCAGTTAAAGAAAGTTTATGGCTCGTTAATCTAACATTCGTTAAGTTACATATATACATTATACATATATATATTTTAGTAATTAGAACCGGAAATAATCATCGCACACTTAAAGCCAATACGAGCCCTTTAATTTATGAACCCTTAGAAAAGCCAAGTTAGTTTTTGTTAGCGTCGTAACCTCACTTCACTACCTCTAATATTATGTAAGTTACTAGCTCATATATTAAACCATTAAATTCAGTTAGAATCAAACAAAGTGTTTCATTTATCTAAAGTGTTTTCATATCTGAACATCCATATAAAAAACCGCCACCAAACTTAATTCTCGTAAGACGATATATTGATGATATTTTACATTATATAATATAATGATAAAATAAATCCTATCAAGCTTTCCTTTGGAGCCATCAGGTCAACCCATCAGCCTAGAGAAATCTTTGGAGGAGGCCTTTACCCAAACCAGGGTTCCTGTTAATTCATAAATAAATAATATATGTATTATATTACAAACATAATCTAAGCTAACCTAATGACTAAAATCATTTTTTTTTAATTATTTTATGGTTATTGTAATATAGCAACTACCAACTATTGTAAAACATGAAATAAAACGGCTTATTATTATTATTAATGATGTAAGTAAAAACAAAAACCTTAATAAGATACATTCCACTACACAAACTATCTTCTTTTAAGAAAATCAATAAGTTTTGTTTAGGTATGTATCATGTAATGTTCCATTTTGAAGAAGAAAAATAGCTTTGTTTAATTTTTAGTTATATTATTCTTTTGAAAACGTGAATTGAAGGCGCATTGTCATGTAACAGACTCTGCTTGATCACAGTTCGTTTTGTGCAATTGAGTTCAAAAATAATGTTATCACATAACTGATAACGTAGGTTTTGCATGTTTCAATTTATGTCCATAACAGCTACGACTGGACCATAAGTGAAATCGCGCTACAATTTAGTAGTATAATACGAAAATCTATTGTTTATCTCTGTATTATATGATCGTATTCATGGGAATGATTAAAATTATAGAAAACCGTAAAAACTACGTACAAAATAAGATTAAATACGCATGCGAAACCGGCATTCAAGTCAAAAATTATAATGTGTCACGCACATAATTTAATCACCTACTAGTATATAAACAAAATATCACGAAACAGACACAGAAATCTGAGACCAAGAATTGTAGCGACTCCGTTTTTTTAAGTGATATGGCTATGCTATTTGGACCTCTTTTTGTTTTTTAATGTAACATTTGTTTTTGGAAATCGAATTCCAAAAATCAGCATCCAGTCTGTATTATAATGGACATTGTAGCACGATACGTGTTTGTTAAAATATAAAACGCTATTAAACTATCTGAGATCAATTTACTATTATAATCTATGGTCTATTATAATCATAGACTATAGAGATTCTACGCCCTTGATTTGAGAACTGGCACTAAATGTAAAATTAGAAGCATTAATATGTATTTCTTTACTGACAAGTCATAAGTGTACAAAGTGTTACCCATATGATTAAATGATTTTTGAATTTTAGATTTACTTTCATCTAATATCAATCAGGATGTGTCTATTACATAGTCTATATGTGAACAAAACATATTTGGAGAAGAAACACTTGTTTTATTAATCGTATTAACAAAGCGCGACTTAAAAATCATTTAAAACTATTGCTCTACATTCGTGAGATTTTATTGAAAACATTTACTTATAATTTCGGAAACACAATTTAAAAAAATACATAAACCTACTTGAGCTTTAAATAGGGGAAAATAATTTTCAAAATCGGTTAAAAAAAATATTACGTTATGTAATAAAATTTTAAGCGTAGTTAGTGTCAAGTCGGTTAATAAATGAATTTTTGGGTCAGACAATGCAGCGAGCAAGCGGTAGTGAAGAGCGCACTCCGCTAGTGCAGCCTACTTATGTCTTCGAGTCCAGTCTTTCCAGGAACTATCAGAAGCGCCTGCGCAAGTTTCAGTGTGCTGTTTGTGTAATTCTCATGTAAGTATTTAATTAATGTTGGTTAAATCTGTATCTTCGGCCATTTTAATCAATTAAAGTTTACTTGTCAACAGCGTAATTCTGACAGTGACGATGTTGGTGACAGTTGGATATAATCTAACAACCGATGACGTCACAGAATCACCGCCCATAGCCAACCTGACGGTTACAAACACAGACTTGCAACCGCTTCTCAAAATGTCTTGGCCCTTACAAGGTAAGTGAGTATTAGATGTTACAAGAGTTACTGGTAACTTTTTTTGCTGACATGTCCTGCAACAGGACTTCTTAGACATCTTAACAAAGCACAGACCGTGCCTGGACGGTTCTGCGACAAAATTCATAATTTAATAATAATTTTTAACTCTTTTTCATATTTATACAAATCTAAAACTTTTGATTTCCGAGACTTAGAGGGAGGGAAAAAGGAAGATATGCTAGGAATTTAATGAATTTAATTGTCATTAAAATATTAAGTGTCGAAAATTAATAGAAATAATAAATTTATTTTTTTAAATTTATTTCTTCGATAATAAAAACAAGTGGTATTTTAATTTACATTTCGTCATTTGAGATTTCAATAAATTATTTTGCATAAAATATAAAATACTAATATTTCATAAATTTTCTTTACAAAATTTTAATTTTAAAAATAGAATTTCTATAAGGTAATTCGCCCTTCTCACTCCCAATTGGTCTCAATCGCTCTCTCCCTTTTCTTCAACAAAAACGCTGCACATCTTCATGAGGCTCCGTAAAATTTTTACCCTCATTTTTACCTAAAGAAGTTTCACTTCAAAAAGAAAAAAAAAGTTTTATAGCATTTGCAAGTCGCGCTTTGATACATACATGAAAACAAATATTGTTAATAAAACCATGGCTCTTGAAGGTTGCTATCTGCTTTAGAAAGGTTCAAAACAATCACTAAATGGACTTCCGCATTGAAACAAACAAACAGTCATTCGGAATTGATAAACAACAAAATTATTTTGCTCCTTATTTTATAAAATTACGCCAAATTTTTTCACGAACAAAAACATTTTGACGCACGCATAAAAAATATAATAACCGAAATCCAAATTTTTAATTCAACAAGTATTTTCTGTTGATACGGATTAAATGCCGCGCCAATGTCAATAAGCCATCTTATGTGATATCCATCCAGATATATAATAGGAGATATAATAAGTGAATCTATGATCTCGAACCATAGATTACAGTAATTAATAAATTGATCACATTTAATTTAACTTCGCAAAAGTAATAAACCTTGGCCTTAGGACTTTCATTTCTGCGTATTTTGTCTATCTTTTTAATATTCATATAGTAGTTATTCGTCCTGTAATGCGAGACGTCTACTCTGACCGCAAAGTATCTAAGGTATGTTATGTGATAACTAGATCAAGGATATATTAGAAAGTTTCCAAAGTAGTGGGTTAATATAGAAAATTCTATATACTACGATAATTGTTTCTAAGTTTTAGAGAAATGTGCGCATTTATAAATATGTTGTTGGAACCAGCTGCCCACTGAAGTACCAAACGACTTAGGGACACTGAACCAATTCGACTTAGGTTCCTTGAAGAAAAGTGCGTACCAATTCTTAAAAGGCCAGCAACGCACTCGCGAGCCCTCTGGCATTGAGAGTGTCCATGGGCGGCGGTATCACTTAACATCAGGTGAGCCTACAGTCCGTTTGGCCCGTGTTCTATAAAAAAATAAGGCAGTTGTTTAAGTAAGATAGTGCTAATTAATCTAATAAAACTACAACTTAAGGGACTTTACTATCGCATATCGAACTCTCGAGTTTTTGAAATCAGCTTATGTTTCATTCTGGACCTGTTTTATGAGTCATAAATTTTCAATAATACTGTTTTGATTCTAAAAGTTGTTAGACATGTAAAATACGAAAACTTAAACAAATACATATAATGAATCATACACGTTGACGTGTAATAATTTGTTATGAAATAACCTAAAATAATTTGTAATGTGTGTATAGTGTGTTGTAGCGCTAAGTACACAACTTGTGCATAAAATGATGCTTACAACTTTTAGAATCGTTTTATCTCAGCGGAAGCTTTTAGGAAAAAAATTATTGATACCTTTTTTATAGATAATTTTATGATCTACAATTTTTGTCTGAGGTAATTTTACGAAAAAAATGTCGTTTTGAAGAAAATCGCGAAAACCTTTGGCCTTGAGTAAATTTTTTCCATGGGTCGTAACGATGGGGAATTTTGAAAAGTTATTTTTAATTGTGTTTTGAACAAGTTTACACAGTTACAGCTTGATGGTAATTCTGGTAGCTTGCAATTTATAGATTGACCGGACTATTATGAATTTCTCAATAGAACAATCAATAAACGAGACAAGTTTACACTCAAGTCTGCTCTTAATTTATGTTGTGATGTTTTTTACTATCGAATTTAATGTTTCCGCTCACCAAAATAAATATGTGTCAACATATTCAAATTTAAATTAATCAATCGATTATGGAAAGTTTGATTAATATGACGTCAATTCAAATTTAGAACCACACCAAGACCAGAGTGCAAGTCCAATTTTTATAGAATTACAGATTATTGCATAACATCAAAAATGTATTAAAAAGTGAAAATAAAATTGACTAGGTACTTAATTTATAAACCTGAAGAGTTTGTTGGGTTAATTTTCTAACTAAAGGAACAAAAAACAGAAGTAAAGCCGGTTCTTCTTTAAACATTTAAACACTGATAATACATATACATATATGAAAGCAATGACATACTAATTTGATATACCTATTTTAAAAATAAAAATAATTTTAACAAAACTTCGCAAAGATTAATTTCAGATTTTATCCATATTAATGATATCGACTTTACGATACATTTGTTTTATGAACATTGATACTTTAATTGTATATTTTGAAGTGTAATATTTTTATTATTTTTTGTAAAATTTATGTTCACCGTAATTAATTGTAACATATACTATAAAAAATGGTGTGGTATCTAAATTAATAAATTGTTTTCGGGAGTAGGTATATTTGCTTATTTTCTATGGAAACATTTCTAAAGGCTTTTTCTATAACAGATAAGAAAAACCTAGCTTTATCATAAACATAAATTATTTTAATCTAAAAGTTTAAGAGGAATTCGATTTAAGTTTACGTTTTGTGTTCCTTTTTAAATAATACAAATATAATTCTAGGTCCGCCCTCACCGGAATGGCCGACCAAAACTCCAACTTCAGAAGAGATAGCTTCAGCAGTAGCACAAGGAAACGATGCTTTACAAGAGCGACGGAAGATGGAGAGTTTTCTGACACCTTTGGACAAAGATTCACCAGCATCAAGGGCGCAGCGAGCGGCAGCAACGTCAGCAGATGTCAAACCTTTAGCTGACTCTGCATACGCTGCTGAACAGGCTACTAGAAGCCTTATTAATGGGTAAGTTAGATAACGTGGTTCATGGTTCTAAATAACCCTTGGTCAAGTTGGGTTTATGCTTCTGGGTCGCACGTCTGCTGTTTCAATTGTCCAAAAACCTGAATGATATCGTAGACTATTGCAGGTCTTAAATAAATTAAGTAACCAGTTATGAGAGATATTATTATTATTATTTTCAACAGTATTTAGTGTTATTTTGGAAGTTAAAAATAGCAGACGTGTTTGGCGATAGCACCTAAATGCACTAACGTTAATTATTTCGAAGTGATGTTTTTAAGTTAAACAAATTATACTATAAACTCATTAAAACCTGGCATGCATCATAACTTTCATATCCATGTAATTAGTATATCATGTACCTACATCTTCCATATCCTTGGGAAGTAAAGTCACCCTTTGTGATCTACGAGTAATTTTCATACTGAGTAATTTAAAAGTATACTTTACGGGAATTTATTTAATATCCGGACATTTCAATTTCAAATCGAACAGAATGCTCAAAATACAAAACAAAACACAAAGTTTCGTTTCATTGTAATTAAACAAAACACAGTTTCGTTTTATTGTAATTAACAAATGACAGATTGTGTCATCTGTCAGTCATTGGAGTAGATATATTGTTCACTAATCAAAAACAGGTGCCATCATAGTACCGTCTTTTGTTTTACAGTCTCACAGGATCTTAATTAAATCCGTGATACGAGACTATTTTATTCGTAGACAATAGAAAAATACTCGAAGATCAAGCATGTTATGCTTTAGCATAAACAACTGTTTGGTAATGTTTTCTTCTAGTCCTTGTTAAGTATGTTTTAGTATTTATAATTGTGTGATCTTAAACCAATAAATACTGTTTCCCTACATCTCGTTTTTCTGCGCTCACCTCATTCCCATTATCATTTCGCTATAATTGTTATTTCCTGCGGGAGCGAGAGATCCCAGAGCCTTTCAAAACTATTTAAGCAATATAAAAAAAACACCGAAAGTGTACATTAATAGTAAAAAGAGACAAATTTTTATTTTTTATTTTTACGTTTGTTAGATTTTGACACACGGGAGACTAGATTCTTAATGACATTACGCATCACAAGGGTTGTTTTATTCACACATAGCACATAAATTGCGCAGATTATGCGATGAGTCCACTTTTCTTAATACTTTATAAATGCAAATCGCATAAAACCTGCATAATTTTAAGATCAGTACTTTGGAAAACACAAGATATTTTATCTTTACTTTATCAAATAACACGTAAAAAACAAAATAGACCTCATGGATTAAAACGCATTCTTTATATTAGTTCTTTACGTATATATGAGTAGAAAACAATATGCAAATCGAATTATTTTAATTCCATAAACTGATAATTAGGGATGTGAAAAAATAATCGATTATTAAAAAAATCGATTTTAATCGATTTTTTGAAAAGTAAAAATCGATTTTTTTTACGCGATTTTTATATTTAAAATAATCGATTATTTTTATAATTCAAAATCAATCATAGTCGATTTTTTATCTGCCACCTTATGTCTGGTCTTTTATAACCCGGACCTCGAACTTAGGGATATTCGATATACAACGATGTTTACAATGCGATACATTGAATCCGATTCTTTGAAGATGTATTGATATACTCGATGCATATGATGTTTTTTTGTAAAACATCGAAAGGATGATAAAACCAGTTAATTTTACAAAAACTCAAGTTTGAATGGAACACTATAATTTAAAAGTAAAATCAATTTATTCAGCAGCACAAGACTACATACAATTAAAAAGACAACAAAAATACTACATTGTGCTACTGAAAAGGCATACACTCAGCATTTATCAAATTTCACCAAAATCTATCAAAACGAGATTTTGAGAAAAGTTACGAGAGTTAATTTCGATTTTGATTATTCTTAAACGTTAATTTGTGTTCATAAATTCTTTTGTTTATTTTTAATTAAAAAAACCATGAAAAATAAAACATTTAGGGTGTTTATTTTGAAATTAATTAAAAAAATAGTAAAAAATCTATTAATAAAAAAATCGATTATTTTTTTAAGATAAATCGATTATTTATTAATCGATTTTTCATGCTAAAAAAATAATCGATTAATAAAAAATCGATTTTTTATGCAGAATGTCACATCCCTACTGATAATCAAATGTCAAATTTTTTTTTCCACACAATTGACGTCAACGCCCGCGTTGTTTTCTCGCAACTAGACTCATTAATCGGATGTTTAATAATTAATATATCGTGATTATCTGAGACTACAATATTATTTGTTATTAAAGTATTGAAAATAATTTGACTTATTTAAATTAGATTCACAGCCCATTCATAAAAACTAAACAAGTATTTTTATTCAGAGTTAACACAATTTGACCTTTGAGTTTTTTTATTATTATATTAGTCTATGGTACAAACGACTGTCGCATTAATTATTTAATTTAAGATTAACAAAGAATATTGTATTATGTTATTAGTTTTTGTTTCGGGAATCGTTCTCAAATTACAAACACCAACTTTGCGACTATAGATGGCGCTAATATGGAAACATTTCTAATTATAATATAGTTTTACCATCTGTCAACTTCATATAGTAGATAATGTAATTGTCTTATAATAACAGCTGACTACTATTGCTGAAAAAAAAAACGTGGAATTATGTAATCAATTCACGTTTATATCGGTTAAAAAAATCATTTACGAATAAACCATTTCATTTAAATTTTAAAGGATAATTTAGCTCTTCAACATAAATCCAATCGGAACCTAAAACGATCACTGCCATTTGGTATGAATATTTCGTTGCTGCATCGGTGAAATTAAGTTTAAAAACGATTCTACTATAAGTCAAAGTCAAAAATCATTTATTCGTGGAGGTAACACAGATATGAACTTCAAAAAAAGAAATATACATTAAATGCTTCTAATTTTACATTTACTGCCAGTTCTCAAATCAAGGGCGTAGAACGGAAGAGAAGAACTGGCAATAAACTCTCCGCCACTCTTTTTAATCGCCAAGTTTTTTGTTTTACACAACCTTTGTAAGGAGCTGCACCATGTTCCACATGACATCTTAAGTCAATGTTTAGTCTACATCTTTAAGTCGTGGTGTCGGTTATTATTTACTAATAAGCTCTGAAATAACTTAAGGAATTCCACGTATAATGGGATCAGGAATATTCTAATCTGAGCAAAGATCATGTTTTGTGTTTAATCTGGAGCAAAACTAGGACTGTATTTACATTACTAATTGGATGACAGCCGACTTGTCCCACTTCGACTAATACTGAACGACCTAGTCTTCCGGCCAATTAATTAAATTGCCCAGGACCTAGGAATGACTAGACTTAGTCCTTAGTAATGAAATCATCAGTGGCGTAACTATACCATCTGGGGCCCGTGGCAAATTCTTTTGATGGGGCCCTATCAGTAAAAATCGTCACGTACTCGGTTTAATTTTAATAAACGTTGAGATTTTCAGAGTACTCAATTACACGTTGTATATGTCCCACTAATGGCCATAGGCCTCCTCACTTAGGCGAGAGGGAATGGTCTGTAGTCCCCACGCTAGCCCAATGCGTATTGGAGACTTCACATTCATCCATAGAACATAATATCTCTTGGGCAGAGGCCCTCTTTGGTCGGGGGCCCGTTGCATTTTGCCAGCCCTGCCACCCTATTCTTACGCCACTGTTGTGCATTCAATATATATTTATTCGAAACAGAACTAATTTGAGCGTACCAACCAGGCTACAGAAGATAAACCACTCCTTATATGGAAATTGTAATCGTTTTTACAACAAACTCCCAAGCGAAATTAGAGAATGATTACTAAATAAATTCAAAGCTCTCGTTAAACGTAAATTAATCAATAAAGCTTTTTATAAATTTGACGAATATTTAAATGATCCTAATCCTTGGGATTGATTGGTCCACTTCAAACAATTTGTATGACTCAAAACTTAGCGATTAAAAAGAGTGGCGGAAAGTTTCTTGCCAGTTCTTCTTGCCCGCTCTACGCCCTTGACTTGCGAACTGGTAGTAAATGTAAATTTAGAAATCATTGAACTTATTTGCTGATGTTCATAAGTGTACTTGTTTACCTATATGAATAAAGTTATTTTGAGTTTGAGTATCTCTATCCAATTCATATACGAACGAGATACACGTCGCCATCAGCCGTCCCAATTTTAGTCTAGGCTCTATCTGATATGTATCTTTAATGCCCTTTTGAATTGGTTAAACGCGCTAATATTACGAATTTTCGACGGTAATTGATCAAATAATTGCACACCCTTATACTTAATCGACTTTTTCAAATAATTTGTACACGGCTTCGGCAAGATAAGCATACTCGCTCGACGAGTATTGCTTGTTGCGGTGTGTTTGATTTTTTAAACGACAAGCTACTATGGACAGAGTTATTTAAATTGTTTTAAATTATTATATAAATTAAACTAAAAACATAATATAAACAAAAACCAAAATCTTTTTAGAACTAATTATAAATAATGCAATTCTTGTGAATTCAGCCAGTGTGCAACTAAATATATCCGTCTCACATATTCAGGGTGCGCAAGACACGCGTAAATGGCGAATTCCTGGGGTAAATTTTGTACGCGATTTGTTCGTAGATGCATCAATCTGTGGCTTATACAGCATTTTATGTAGAGTTATTCTAACTTCATAATCATATTGCAATTTAACTCATTTTAAATTTATAGCTTTAAAATCCCAATCTCATACATTGTAAATTGTAATAAGTATCGGACCCAGTCTTTCGTTATCTAGAACAAATGGGGTCAACAAACTCTAATTAATACGTCAAGGATTATATCATTACCACCCGTAATCCTGATATGTAACCCGATACGCGAAACCATTTGCCTAGCTTTAAGGCTTCACCGACTGGACCAAATGCTAGATAATTCAATTGACAATCGAACCGGAAAGTGTTAATTCACGTAATTTTGATCGACACTTCCGGATTAGAAGCCTTTTGTCCTAAAAGAATTGTAAACATAATTTAACTGTTTTTCTATGGATTAAAGTTTATCGAAGAAGTTTATCAAGTTGTTAAAAAGCATTATATACCTTCAATTACATTTTTTTATTTATTTTTAAAGAGCAGTGTTGGCCTAGTGGCTTCAGCGTGCGACTCTCATACATAAGGTCGTGGGTTCGATCAAAGGCTGTGCACCAAGGGACTTTCTTTCTATGTGCGCGTTTAACATTTGCTCGAACGGTGAAGGAAAACATCGTGAGAAAACCGACATGTCTTAGACTCAAAAAGTCGACGGCGTGTGTCAGGCACTGGAGGCTGATCAAACTCAAAATATCTTTATTCATGTAGGTAAACAAGTACACTTATGAATTGTCAGAAAGAAGTTAAATTAATTGTAAATTTACATTTACTACCAATTCACAAGTCAAGGGCGTAGAGCGGGTAAGAAGAACTGGCAAGAAACTTTCCGCCACTCTTTTAATTTGGCGATTCCAAGTGGCGGTATTGTCATAAAAATTGTTTGAACTGGAGCAAATCAATCCCAAGGATTAGGATCATTAAAGATCACCGACTTGCCTATTAAATTAAAAAATGATCATGAAACAGATTCAGAAATCTGAGGCCAAGACCTAAAGAAATTGTAGCGCCACTGATTTATTTGTAGGTTAATAATTGTGCGTTAGAGTTTTTATAAAACAGAGGTTAAATGGGCAGAAGGTTTACCAGATGTTATTTATTATTCATTTATTACAGTTCACCACGTCCTCATCATACATGCGATATCTACATATGTTACAAGCTAGATTTTATAAAATATATGACAATTATGTTAAACATAAATGATCATCATCATCAATGGTTATACAGCCCCTTGTGAGCCTTAGCATCCTCAATACACTTCGCCATCGAAATCTATCCAGTGCTTCCCGCGTCCAATTTCGAACCCATATTGTTTCGAGGTCTTTGACAACACCATCCCACCAACGCAGCCTCGGTCTAAACATAAATGATACCAAAAATTAAAATACAATAAAAATTACTAGCACAACAGCGGATCAGGTATTAACAATGTTTCTTTTTTTTATTGATCAGCCCATGGTTTTGCGTTACAGCGCCGCTAATAGCGCGGGTACTTACGGTGACTGAAGTTTTTTATTTTTCTATCGTAATCTAAAAGTATTGTATCAAAGAACATACATTTTCCGACGGGCACTACTCATAATACCTTTTTTTTCTTCATTGTGTGAACGTGAACCATGGAGACAGGTACGTACCGTTTTTTGTCACACTTCTACGCGACATATTTACTGACAGTGCTTCAAATTTCAGAACCAACTCGTCCCTCATCGACGGCAGTGTGGGTGTAGGTCCGATTATCAATGGCTTCTTCCCCGAGCCCAGATACTGCAGGCCGCCAACTGCTCCTTGTGAAACATCACGATACAGAACTCAAGACGGATCCTGCAATAACCTGGAGAACCCACTACGTTGGGGAGTTTCAAATACACCCTTTAGACGGGTCCTACCACCTTCATATGGCGATGGTTAGTATTAGACGATATTGCTAGACACAGAATTGTCTGAATCGTATGAATTGTTAAAGAAACCTTCGTCTCCTTATAATAGTCCTCAACCTACAAGTTTAATAGCAACGGCAGCCCCTGTCTGATAAAAATGATCTTTAAAGACTCCTTATGTGGTTGATATTAATCTTCTAGGTTTAAAATAACCTTGAATATCTTCATAATTTCTTCTGAATCAAAGGCGCTACAACCTTTTTAGGTCGGCCTCGGATTTATGTATCTGTTTCATGATCATTTGGAAATCTAATAGGCAAGTAGGTGATCAGCCTTCTGTGCCTGACGCCGTTTGACTTTTTCGGTCTAAGGCAAGCCGGTTTCCTAACTATTCACTACTTCATTCATTTAACCATTGGTGCACAGCCGGGGATCGAGCCTACGACCTCAGGGATGTGAGTCGCACGCTGAAGCCACTAGGCCAAGTTGCTCAATTAGCTGCTGGTAATTTCTTCTAACCGCTGGTAATTTCTTCTATCTGACAATATTTCTAGGTCCGTAAGACTAAAATGTTCATAAATGTGTTGAATGAATGTTCACTAATGATCATGAAACAGATTCAGAAATCTGAGGCCAAGACCTGAAGAGGTTGTAGCGCCACAGATTTATTTTGTTAAGATTAAAATGTTACCCAGTCATTTTTTATTGGACTTTCCAGGAATCAGCTCCCCAAGGACAGGCGTAGATGGCGCAATGTTACCAAGTGCTCGAGACGTGAGTGTGACCGTCCACAGACCAAGTTATGCCCACGACTCTACCTTGACTGTGATGCTGGCCGTATGGGGGCAGTTCATCGACCACGATATTACTGCCACTGCGCTTAGTAAAGGTACATACAGTGGAATATAGATAGCCAGAATGCCAAGGGAACGGCAAAAAAATTAGAGTTAACGGGTTTTTGACTTAAAAAGAACTTCGAGATACATAATACCAGTGGCGTAACTATAGGGTGGCAGGGCTGGCAAAATGCCACGGGCCCCCGACCCAAGAGAGGAGAAGTCTCCAATACGCATTGGGCTAGCGTGGGGACTACAGACCATTCCCGCTCGGCTAAGAGACGAGGCCTATAGCCATTAGTGGGACATATACAACGTGTAATTGAGTACGCTGAAAATCTCGAAGTTTATTAAAATTAAACTGAGTACAACGTGTCGATTTTTCTGATAGGGAAATTAAAAGAATTTTCCACGGGCCCAGATGGTATAGTTACGCCACTGCATATTACATTACATAATTCAATTTAAATATTACTAAGACATCACATCATACTATCAGTTCGTTTTTAGTAAATTAATATAAACTTTATTACTGACGGGCGATACTGTTCTCGTATGTAAACGTCATCATTGTATATACACAACACAGCCTGATATAAAAATACTTAACGATATGCATGGCGTAACGTTTTTTTAAACCTAAATTAAAGACTAATGTGACTTAGACCAAAATATTATATACGTATACTAGCTGACCTGGCAAACGTCGTTTTTCGTTTTTTTGTAATAAAAAAATAGGGGTTGATCGTAGAGGGGTGAAAATTAGGGGTTGTATGTATTTTTTATATCATAAACAAATTTAAAGAAAAAATTTATCTAAAAAAAAATATTAAAAAATTTAGGGGTAGTTAACATTTAGGGGGATGAAAAATAGATAGATACTCGATTCTCAGACTTACAGAATATGCATAAAAATTTTCTTAAGAATCGGTCGAGCCGTTTCGGAGGAGTATGGGAACGAACATTGTGACACGAGAATTTTATATATATAGAGATTATATAAAAGTATAACAGTTTATTAGCTTAAATACGCTAGATTACTGCAGAAAAACTTACGCATGAATTTTTACGGGATTTTATAGCTCAATCTTCTTCACGTGACTATTCCATATACTATTACAAAGTAGTGACAACTGTTAAAGATTTTTTATAATATTTTTCAGGCGAGAACAGTTCCTCCTTACAATGCTGCAACACCAATGGCCCTGTCCATCCTGAATGCTTTCCGGTGCCGCTGGATGCAGAAGACCCTTATTACCAAGACTATAACATTACTTGTATGGAATTTGTTCGATCTGCTCCCGCGCCGACTTGCCACTTTGGTACGTAATAAAATAGAAGTATCTATTTTTCATAATATTGTTTATTTATTTATTCAAGTTTACTACAACATACATAATACTATATGTACGGTAGATGTTACAAGCTCTTTTATCTTAAATATATGACACTTGGTAAACATAAGTGTTACAAAAAAAAATATACTTATTATTTTTCTATACTAGAGTTGCTTGAAAGAAATCGCTTGTGAGCGATAAGGCCGCCCGTTGCTTAATAACTTATGTAACCTGTTTTTTATTATATCTAAGGTAACGGGGTATAAAAAAAAATAAGTTTTGTAATTATTTTAAAAACTAACTTACCTCTTCAGGGGCACGGGAACAGCTAAACCAGGCTACAGCATTTCTGGATGCGTCAGCGGTATACAGCTTTGCGGAGAAGAAGACCTGGAAACTACGGGAAGGCATGCGTGGACAACTGAAAATGCTCCGCATTGGAAAATGGGAGCTGCTTCCACCATCAACAGATCCGAATGATGGATGTAATACGGTGGAAATGAACGCGAAAGGACGTTACTGTTTTGAATCAGGTATAACGGTAATCTATACTTCAAATGAGGTGTTTAAATATTTAAAATACATATTAGATTACGTGTTTAACTATATACCAAAAAATTGTTTGTTTGTTAAATTTGTAATAAAACATAATGAAAAGGCCATTGCGGTAAAATCGGGGTTCGAACACATAATCTGTGTTAGGAGTGTGGAGAAAGGATGGTGAACCAACTGTATCACCTTGACGTCCGCCGTTCCACAACTGAGTGTTTTTCAAGACAGTTTTTGCCGCGCACCAACGCTATGTGGAACCAGCTGCCCACTGTAGTATTTCCGAACCAATTCGACTTAGGGTCCTTCAAGAAAAGAGCGTACCAATTCTTAAAAGGCCGGCAACGCACTCGCGAGCCCTCTGGCATTGAGAGTGTCCATGGGCGGCGGTATCACTTAACATCAGGTGAGCCTCCTGCCAGTTTGCAGGTAAAAAAAAGAACATTTCCTCTAACGTTAAAGTTATTTTCAGGAGATGAAAGAGCAAACGAAAATCTACATTTAACCACAATGCATTTGATTTGGGCGCGGCAACACAATCGAGTAGCTGCTGAATTGATCAAGCTGAACCCAACCTGGTCTGATGAGACGGTGTTTCAGGAAGCCAGAAGGATTGTAGGAGCTCAGATGCAGCATATCACATATTCGGAGTTCTTGCCAGCTATCTTAGGTATTATTGCTACATTCAGTTAACGCAAAATAATTTAATTGTTTTTAATTATATTTTGTCATGCTGGTGCAGCTGGTGCTATGTGAACATAGCTGATTGTTCTTTGTATTTCATTGCAAAAAAGAGTTTAATGTTTTGCTTATATAACGATGTATAATAATAAAAATATTTCAATTTCTAGTAAAATATAAGATAGATATTGTTGTGTCTCTGCGTGTGTATGTGTGAAAGAGATTTTATACTTAATATTTTATTACATTAAGTTAGACGTTTAAAGCTACAACTGAGAAGTATATCTAAATAACAATCTACCTTGTTTCTTAAACAGCCACTGAAGTTACGTACCTAAACATCTTGTCTGCAGAAATTCAAAATCATTTATTTATTTATTAAGGAAACAAACAGATACATATCTACAAAGTAAATAAAATAAAAGTAAAACATAAAATAAACCCATTGGACATATCCACAAAAAGTTTCACTGATAAATATGAATACAATACAAAGTAAAACAAGACAAAACATGACAGCACAAAATTTATAAATTAGGAGAACGACAAACAAACTAGCAGCTATATAAAAAAAACAAGGAATATTAAGACATTAAGTGTTTTAACTTATTCCTAAACGAAGCATTTATTCATATAGGTAACACAATGTACACTTATGAACGTCAAAAAAGAAATTTACATTAAGTGCTTATAATTTTACATTTACTGCCAGTTCTCAAATCAAGGGCGTAGAACAGAAGAGAAGAACTGGCAATTAACTCTCCGCCACTCTTTTTAATCGACCAGTTGTTTGTTTTACAAAATGTTTGTAAGGAGCTGCAACCATTACACCATATACCACATGACATCTTTAAATATTTAACAATAATAATAAATAAAAAAATATAAACGAAAACAAAACAAAGATTTGTCCTTTATCAGCAGTAAATTTGAAATTGGCATTGTGAAATTAAACGCACTTACATTCTCGTGGGAACAACAAGCAAATACATAGTCGAAATTAACTTCACCGCATACACGAATTCAAGTCCCACCAGTCACCAGAAGTAGCACTCGTTCACGAGTATGACTCATGGCCAGCCATCGGCCCCTCGCCTTAATATAAGAATTAGCTTTAACGCAAAGATATTTTCAAAAGCCCAACATATGTTATTGTTTACAGGTGTGGATGTGATGTGGGCTCTCAACTTAACCCTTCGTAGTTCTGGTTACTCTGATATCTACGATCCTACAGTTGACCCTTCCATTGCGAACCACTTTGCGTCATCAGCCTTCAGATTTGCTCACACCTTGCTACCAGTAAGTAAATACACTCTTATTAAAACATGGACAGTTACAATATAAGAGAAAATAGCCAAAATGCCCTTAGAAACGATCCAACGAGTTAGCTGTGAGCTCCGAACTTAGGAACTTTATATATACAACGGTGTAGATAGTCCCATTCTTCAGCCGCGGTGGTACCTTACTGGAAATTGTATTGAATAGGTCACGGCTACGCGTCAGCTAATGTCAATTATCAACCTGATATGTCGGAGGGCCGGGAATGGGTAGGTACGTTTTATTGGGACTGTCATTTGTCACATTTCTTGTTATTTTTTACGCTGCTTTTAGGTTAATTAACTAGTTTTTTTTTTCATTTCACAATCAAATGAGTCATCCCTTCGTCTCTCGTTTTACATTATCACCTCCCTAGGTCACCTTGGAGGTGCTTGTGCCATTGGGGATATATAGAGACACGTTTCACTCAGTGGCGTAACAATAGGGTGGCAGGGCTGGCAAAATGCCACGGGGACTACAAACCATTCCCGAACCAGAGAGCCCATGCCCAAGTGGGGATAAAATACTATTATAGCTAATACATTATGCTAAGGTCAAAACCTGACATATGTAAAACATCAGATAAGGCAAACGACTCTAGATGTATGGTACGCTACCGGGGGGCAGCTAACTACAACCATTATTCCTCGCAAATGTTAGAACTGCGTACAAATTAATAAGAGAGAGGCGTTTCACCCACTCAGTGGCCACATTTTACAGGGCGGACGGAGCCTTTACACATTAAGTTCATAGGTTTAAAATTAACAAGCCCAGCTGAGTACCAAGAACAAACAGTGAACATGCTCCTACATTTATGCATAGGCGCCCTGGACATCAAATGCAGATGACTGTTGACCAAACGGCCTCGGCAGATAAGGCACAGTCGGCGGTTAATTGTGAATATATAAAGGCGGCAAACAAAACCCCAAGAACTGATTTCGCGAACGTACTTTAGAGTTAAAATAGAAAAGTCTATTTAAAAAAAAATACCCAAATTACTTAAAATCCTTTCCAACATTGCCAAGTTTGATCAAATAACTACTTTCAGTAAATATTCTTTCAGGGTCTGATTCACAATGTGGACGTCAGTACTGGCACCGTTAGCTACACCCACCTACATGAGATGCTATTCAATCCATTCGCACTTTACAACACTGATAAGGGTGCGAGGCATGCGGTCAAATCTGCCATGGACACTCCCGTTCATACAGTGGACCCACATGTAACTTCCGAGGTATTAAGCATTCGACACACGCAAATTCCGATTTCAAAAGTGCGCTTATGGTTCAGAAAATCGTTATATCTTCCAATACTAACGCTAAATATGACTACCTTTTTGTGGCACATTTCGATAAAAAACTAATAGCCAATCTGGCGATTTTTAAAACTTTCTTAACGTAGAAGCATATTTTCCTAACACTACTGATGCTATATCATCCAAACAGCGCGGCGTCAGACTCAGTCAATTTCCTCTGTGGATATGTTATGTATGCGGAAGGGAATTCGTATTCAATCGGCACTTTGTTATTTAAAATGTTTGGTTTTTTATTTTTGATTTGAGTTTTATTCGCGTTCTTGGACACGATCCAAAAATATATGTCATAGCACGATCAATCCACGCCTATAACAATTATAACGCCTTTGATAAAATGTAACGCAAACAGTTTTGTAACGCCAATCCGTTATATCTTAAAAGGCGTCATTAATTTAAAAAAAATCATAAATATTGTTCTTCATGAACATAATGAATATAATTTTACTGTTTACGTTCAAATTATACAAGTTTGCTAATTAGACGACAGTTTTATAGCTTATTTCACATACGAACAAAATTAACAAGAGTTTTGAATTAAACTCAATGCTATCAAAACATAACTTGTAAAAAACCAAATCTCTCAACGCAGTTCTACCGTAAAAAGTCAGGGTCGATATCGATTTTGGTCAACTTATTTAGTCGCTACTTTAGGGACCTTCTGTCTTTAGTGCTTACGTAATTAGCTAACCTAACAACATCTTATCAATATTTCATGACTCCAGATCTAGTCTCAAGAGAGTCCATAAGAGAGACCATAAGAGTTATTTCTCAAGCCGTTAATTAATAACATTTAAATACACTATATTTCCAAAAAGTAATTTATTGCCCTTAAGCTAATTGGGCATATTAACGTTGCATCGTTCAGTAATAAAGTTCCTATCTACTAGAAAGAAAAAAAAATTGAAGCTGTATTTTTCAGAATCGCCTCGTTTTTATTACCTAAACACTTTATCATAATTACTTTTCAGCTTAGCAACCATCTCTTCGAGCGTCCTATAGTCGTGAACTCAACACCTTCAACCACGCCATCGGACCCTATGCTCCATCCCTGCGGCCTTGACCTGGTATCTTTAAACATCCAAAGAGGAAGAGACCACGGTTTGCCCTCCTACCCAGCCTGGAGGGAGCTCTGTGGACTCTCGAGACCTAAGACCTTTCAAGACTTGGACGCCATCTTTGATGAGCTTTCTCTTAGTCGGATCTGTAAAATCTATAAGTACGTAAAATCAAACCTTACTGGTTTAAGTTTTATTAGTTAAGGACCTATCCGGTCGCTAAACTCCAAAAAAGTACATTGTTTCTTTCCATTTCTCGTCATCGTTTCTTGAAGTAGGGCGAATGGAAAAAATATATGGTGGAGTTGAGTAGTTTATGTATCCATTTTGAAAGATCGATACACGATTTAAATAACTTCACTCGATAGAAAAAAATCCAAACGAAAGCAAAGACACAATTTTTATGAAAAATGTATACAGAACATGATATTGAAATTTACCCGATATCATTTTAGCGCAAGCCAAGTAATCCATTTCAGAAAAAAATTGTAAAATTACATTAATTTAATGTTTTACAATAACTAATTGTTATAACGGGCCAGGGCGCCTTTGGGCTTTCTTGTTAACGAACGTTTTTGTCAACGGGTAACGGGCCGACGCAAAACGGCTACCTAATACACGATACGCTAAATATAACGTGAACGCGTCCTTAGTACTCCAGCTCTCCACTGCGCACCGCAGTCCACCCCGAGACACTGACACAGCAATTCGTGCTGGGATAGGACCTTAAGAGTAGTGTTGTCCATTGGTTTGGTCGTGCGTCTCTATACTCCTAGGCTATGAAGGGTACAATGAAGGTTAAAGAGTCACCGTAATGGAGTTTGACGCCGTAATGGTGTTTATATGGAGTCATATTTTCAGTCAGTTTCCTAATAATTTTGAACTTTCAAATTTGATAATGGCGCATGTAGAAAATACATCGGTGCAAAGTCGGGACTGAACATTTCAGCAGCTTCTCTTCTCCACTGAAGAAATCAGTTAAATATCTTTTTTTGCACCAGGAATGTAGAAGATATAGATTTATACACTGGAGCATTAGCTGAGCAACCGGGAGGCAGACTTTTGGGTCCTACCCTCACTTGCCTCATCGCAGACCAGTTTTACAGGGTGAAGGTTGGTGATAGGTTCTGGTATGAGACCGGAGATCCAGATATCAGATTCACATTTGGTGAGTTAATAGAATTGATCAATTATAAGCTAAGAAACCTAATTAAAAATTCATAGGTATCGGGCAATTTGTATAAATAAAAGCAAGGCAAATGGAGGAGCTTTCAATAAAAAAACTTGCCTTTAATTGATCGTTATTTTGGTTAAAAATACAATTACTTTCTTACACCTTACCACCAATTTGCATTACAAAAATACGTGTTTAATGTTTATTAGCGTAGGACTGTCAATGTTCGGTATCACAATAACATTAGTTTAAACTGTGAAGTTCTCCAAATCTCTTCGGCCACAGTGTCTAATTAACTCACTGATTATTTATAAAGGAAAAATGTGTTATTCATAAATCTAGAAATAGCCTGAAGGTACGGAAGTCCTACACGATGTGAAAATCACAAAATCAGGTGAAAGGCCGGCCTGCAAACACGGCCATCTTCGTAAATTTGAATCTGACGCCTCATTATAGGTTTCATAAAATTAAGCTCTATAACCAGCAACCTATACTTTTAGTTTGCCATTGTTTTTTCATAGCGAAAATACATGACTATATAACATTAAACCATTTAAATCCTCAGAACAATTGTACGAGCTTCGCAAAACAACGCTGGCTGGAGTCATCTGTGCCAATGAGGAACTACTAGACCTTGCACAACCAAGAGTCATGGAAGCCCTCAGTGCTACTAACCCACTCGTGGACTGCAAGGAACTTCCCCAACCTGACTTCGAACCCTGGAGAGAAGGGCCCAATGAGATGACCAAGAAAACCAAGAAAACTAAAAAGAACTAGATATTTTTAGCCAGATTTATGTTAGCTATATGTTTACTTTAAAAATCCTAGCCAGCTTTAATACTTTATTGGTTTGTGAGTGTTAAAAAAAATTTACTGTGTGATTGGTGCGTGATTTTTTAAAAAGCATTAGCGATGCTAGACACCTATTATTTTTTATAATTATAATTATTAAGGTTTGATTACACATATTTCGTCGACAATTGTCAATCCTTAAATGATTTGTGGTTATTAGTTAACATTTTATTCATCATAACCACTATGATATAGATAATAATAGAACCTACTAATAAAGCAAATCTAATTTAAAGCGTAGTCATATAATTTACACGCGCTGTTTCTTCTATGGTTCAAAGGACGAAAAACTCCATAGATAATAGCTCCTGACAATAAGAATAGACGAGTAGTCAATTGCCAATTATTGAATTTGAGCTAAACGTTATAATTATATACAAACTGTTTGCTATGCATTTTCAACCCTATTACCTTGCCATACCCGTGCCATGTAATTTAAAATACGTAAATATACATTGCAATAAAATAATATGTGTTACTTAACACGAATATTACACCTATACTATAGTATACTATAGTAAAAACTTCTTTAAGGAACATAAACGTAATTGCATTATTTATATGAAAATTATTTGCATTTACACCAGTTTAAAGAAGTTTTGAGTTTAAGTTATGGTTCCTCTTAAGATTAATAAAATTAAATACATTTTTCATCGACGTATTGATACCGGCAAACTTCTTGAGCATTAAACAAGGCAGTGGGGGAAAGTTTGCGTATCTTACGGGACGCGCGGTAAACAAACGTCAACTGATTTACCAATCACGCGATCGATACGTCACTCTCCCGCCGCCCCCCCTACCAGTGATACCTAAAAATCGCTTCTGCGCAGGCTAAGGCATTTGTTCAAGATGTTTGGCGGTATCTGTACAAGCTTTGTTATTAAAAGGAAATGGATTACATAAAGAAGTCGATTAAAAGTGTATTTCATTTAACTTATTTACAGTGAAGTTATATTTGTGTATTTTTCTATATTTTATATGATCGTACCAACGATAGATATTTAAAACAATTCCTAATATTAAAAGAATCCCTTACCTCATACAAATCTAGGATAATTTAGATAATTTTTGACATATTATGCAATTTTAATAAATTTTGTTTTTAAATTAAATGGTTTTATTTACTTTCATTCTTCTTAGCATATTATGACTTTATGAATAAATAAATCGGTGGTTCATGATCATTTTTTATCAATCTAATAGGCAAGTAGGTGATCAGCTCCCTGTGCCTGATACACGCCGTCGACTTTTTGTGTCTAAGGCAAGCCGGTTTCCTCACGATGTTTTCCTTCACCGTTCGTGCGAATGTTAAATGCGCACCTAGAAAGAAAGTCTATTGGTGCACAGCTGGGGATCGAACTTACGACTTCAGGGATGAGAGTCGCACGCTTAAGACACTAGGCCAACACTGCTACTTATGACTTTACTACTGTAGACCTAACCTTACACACAAACGAGGTGTTTCGAAACTCTTGCGCAATCGTTGTTTAATTATTTTTACACCGTTTATGGTCCGAGTCTTTGGAAGAACCGAAAAGTATATAAATGAACATAGAAAACTCAAAATGTAACACCGGACCTCCACTTGCATAAAATTATTCTTACAGGGAAGCCCCAATACTTGTTTCGGAAGTTACCAATCACCAAAACCACGCTTCTTATAAATCTTTTATTGAAGTGAAACTGCTTTAGTCACGAAGATGTGCAGCGTTTTTGTCGAAGAAAAGGAAGAGAAGGATTGAGACAGAGAGTGAAAAGGGTGAATTACCTTATAGAAATTATATTTTTAAAGTTAAAATTTCGTAAAGAGAATGATATATTATTATTTTAATATTATATACATGTATTATAGTATTTTATGCAAAATAATTTATTGAAATCTCAAATGACGAATTGTAAATAAAATGCCACGTGTTTATATTATCGAAGTAATAAATTAAAATAAAATATTATTTGTATTAATTTTCGACACTTAATATTTTAATGACAATAAAATTCATTAAATTCTTAACATATCTTCCTTTTCCCTCCCTCTAAGTCTCGGAAATCTAAAGTTTTAGATTTGTATAAATATGAACAAGACTTAAAAAATTGTTTGCCAAAGAAGTTTCACTTGTGACATGTGTACTTTGTACAACCGCGCTTTTTTATGTTAATCAAATTAGTCCTAAAATGTAACTCAGAGATTCGAATTGTTGGTATTTGCCTTTTGTCAATAAAAATATACGATTTCATAATAAAAAAGCTAACCTTGTTATAAATACACCTGTTATATCAATTTTGTAAGAAAATGTGATTTTCTTATATCTTGAGTCATAGCTTAGCATCAATATTTGGCAAAACGTAGGAAGTTGCTGACCTTGCAATTTTTACCGAGCGCGATAGACTTTAATACACTGCAGTAGAGTGTTATTTAAGTTTAAATTACAAACAGTTGGCCGGCTGAATATGGAATAATGACGTCATGGCTGAATCCTGGACCTTGAATGTTCCTTTGTGACATAATAATAGTAATTATGGCAGACTGCGGTCGCTCCAATATATGCTGTGCTTGATGCCACGACTACCGGTATTTTTTCTTGGGTTTAACATCGTAACCATCGTGTATGTTACACGGTAATGTTGTTTGTTAATACTCGGGACGAACGCAGGATGCAAATTTCCCGAACTAGACTAACTAAAGTTAGTAATTCTTTTTTGGGAAAAGGGATACTCTTCTTTAATAAAATCCCAGAGGCTCTTTTATCTCTGCCTTTTAATAAATGTATTAATGAAAAGCTGTGTAAAAATGCTTACTATAAAGTTAACGATTATCTAGTTGATAAAAGGGCCTGGGACTAGTGCTAGACAGGCTACTTATAATTAACTTGCGATATTTGTTTTTTTTAAATCAAACATCAAAAGTGTTGTTTGATGATTTGCTATTTTAAAAGAGTACCGAGAGTTTTTTACGCCGGCTTTTTCTCTCGGCCTACACCCTCTGTCTCTTTTGCCGATGAGTAGGGATGTCTACCGATTCAAATTTAATGACGTGAAATAAGTGATACCTGTATCTTATGTTCCATTATATATAAAAAAATTAATAACTTAAATCAACGTTTTTAAGACCGTATCGACCCCTTCTGGGATCCGTAAATTACACTATAATAATAATAATATATTGATTTATTTGAATCTGCTAAAATTTTTCATGTTTTGACGGTAATTATAAGATAATATGATGTGATTGAAGAAAATAACAAAAAGGAACAATATTAGTAAATAAAGGACTATCCTTTAGTAAATATGAATAGAAATAAATTAGCCTTTCACATGGTTAGAGCCCCATATAGATAGGACACTTTTGCCTTTTACGACTACAAACCCTAAACAATTATTGCGTTCAAGATTGTCCTTATAGTAAAGTCGAGTCGTATGTCATCACTCATGCATGCCTGAGGACATAGGTTCAAACCGCGTCTGTGCACCAACGGACTTTTCTATGTGGATATTTAATAATCGAAAACATCTAGAGGAAACCGGCACGCCTTAGACACAAAATGTCGCCACAGAAGGCTGATCACCTACTTCATACTTGCCTATTAGACAAAACAAATGGTCACGAAACACATACATAAAGTTGAGTCAAAAATCTTAAATGTTAGACCTCAATTCTTCTGATTACGTTACGTCAATGGGACTATGATCTAAGAAGTTGTTTTTTTAATAATTCAATGCAATGGCGCCTTGGCAATGACTAGAGTTATGCTTGGCATCGCTGATTGGCAGACACGTTATGTCATTCTGCTGGTGATTTACGATTCTTTTGTTTTATGCACTGCGATAAATGGAATTTATATAGGTACGTTAGTTTTGTTTTATTCAAAAAATAAATCAGTGGCGCTTCAACCTCTTTTAGGTCATAGCCTCAGATTTCTGTATCTATTTCATGATCATTTTTAAATCTAATAGGCAAGTAGGTGATCAGCCTCCAGTGATCACACGCCATCGACTTTTTGGGTCTAAGACATGTCGGTTTCCTCACGATGTTTTCCTTCACCGTTCGAGCAAATGTTAAATGCGCACATAGAAAGAAAGTCTATTGGTGCACAGCCGGGGATCGAACCTACGACCTCAGGTATGAGAGTCGCACGCTGAAGCCACTAGGCCAACACTGCTCATTTTTGTTTTATTTACCAAAGTTATAAACTACCAAAATGAAAACGAAGAGAAACAGCAGGGCCTTTCCTTTCGACAAAAAACCTACAAGCATTCGAGGCAAACTTTTACACTTTCAACCAATCAATGAGAATTTGTAATTTATTTTTAAATGATAAAATCTATTTAGTTTCGAGATAACAAATAAATATTTACATTTTACGCTTACTTCCTTTTAAATAATCTACGTATTTTTAGAAGCAGTCCACGTGCGTGATTTTGTCACATACCGATAACAGAAAGTGTTTGCTAACAAAACAACAATTCGAGAAGTTTCTTAAGTCGTCAATGCCACACGTGAGGTAGGACGAGTTTGACGTATCACAATAATTATACTAATTCGTTATCTGTAAACAGATCAATGTATGAGAGAAAGTCGAAATGTCAAGTATGACGTCTTGAGACGGAAGGATACTCGAAGACCGTATTAAGTATTTGATATAGTATAATTGAAATATTCAGTTTTTAATACAATACAATGGAGAGTGCCTGGATTGTATACAATGGAAAATCACGGATGTGTTAACTTCTGTTTTAATTTTATAGGTATACTAGCTGATCCGGCAAACGTCGTTTTGCCATGTTTATCATTTATAATAAAAAATAGGGGTTGATCGTAGAGGGGTGAAAATTAGGGGTTGTATGTATTTATTAATGCTGTATCATAAAAAAATAAAAATAAAAAATTGTATCTAAAAATTAAAAAAAAAAATTAGGGGTGGACTACC